AAACGTATATTTTTCGCATGTTCGCATCTTGGGCTTTCACCGCGTCAAAGACGGCCCAAGAGGCCTCCAAGACGGCCAAGGAGGCCTCCGGGAGCGCTCCAAGGCTTGCGCACGAGTGGCTCAGGACGGCCCCAAGACGGCCCAAGAGAACCCCAAGACGACTTCGAGAGGGGTCCCAGAAGGAGAAAGCCACTCTCGAATTCCGAGCTTCCGGCCCAACATATCCCAGGAGGCGCCAAAACGCCGCCCAGAGGCGCCAAAAGGCTCCCAAAAGCACCCCAAGACGTTCCGAGAGGCACCCCAAGAGAGGTCCAAGAAGCAAAAATCGTGCCATTCCTATCGGAAAACGTATATGTTTCGCATGTTCGCATCTTGGGCTTTCACCGCGTCCAAGACGGCCCAAGAGGCCTCCAAGACCGCCCCAAGACGGCCCAAGAAGCTTCCAAGAGGGCCCCAGGACAGCCCAAGAGGGCCCCAAGACGGCCCAAGAGGCGCCCAAGATGGCCCAAGAGGGCCCCAAGACGGGCCCAGAGGGGGCCCAGAGGGGGACCACGAACCGCAAGCTCGAGCCTTCCGCCCCAAGAGGCCGCCAGGAGGCCCCAAGGAGGCCCCTCAAGAGGCCCCAGGAGACCCCCAAGAGGCCCAAAGGAGGCCCCGAGAAGCCCCAAATCGGCCCCCAAAATGCTTCGAACCTGCTTCCAGGAGGCCCCCGACAGGTTCAGAGGCTCCCGAGAAGCTACGTCAAACTCCCAGCGAGCGGCCGGACGAGGCCCCCCACAAAATCACAAGAGGGTTCCAGTATTTGTATCCTTCAGCGCTCTCTGGCCTTCTTCCCCCTGCCCCCTTCCCTGCGACTTTCGTTGACTCAAGCTCGCCTCCTAGCTTAGAACCTAAGCGCGCGCGAAGCGCGCGCGTGGTTCTAGTTTATATGTACATCTGTATACACACAAACTAGTTTACACATGTTCTATATGTACATGGGGTGGTTGAAAACATAGCCCAGCATTCTTTTCATATATGTATATATATATATAATCATATCTGTATGCAGATATTTGTATCTTCGCATATTGTTATAGATGTTCAGGTGTTTTGCTGTCCGATTTATTCAGAGGTCGAACGTAAACAGCTATATAGATACATCCTTTGAACCAATTAATCTCACGTGTGCCATGTAGAAATGTATTGAATGTACTGCGGCTTCCTGCCTGGCCGAGCCGCCGGCCAGCCTCAAGCCCATCATGAGTAGTTGTAATCACACAATTCATATACACGGATGGGTTATATACTTGAATTCACGGTTGCGCTTGAGCTCGCCGCATTTTCGCCAGAGGGGCGGTCGAAATACATTGAAATATGAATACGTCAAGCAACATATCAATGTACATTTGTTGACTTGGTGTGTTGAACGGTTCCCAGGGCCGAACTTGGCAAGGAGGAGGCGACAGGCAGCGGCGGTGGTGGAGGTGGAGGATGCACAGTTGCATAATTATCCCGGCAAAGCAACCTAACAGCGATGTGTAGGAGCATATCTGGAAGCATTCCCCTTAAGATTCAGATAAGCATCCTGTTGTAGAATTCTGCTGTTCTCGCAGTCGTGGTCGCATTCGCGATGGCAGTCGCAGTGGCAACAGCAGTCGCAGTCACAGCCTCAGCCTCAGCCTGCCTCAGCCTCAGCCTCAGCCTGCCTCAGCCTCAGCCTGCCTCAGCCTCGCCCTCAGCCTGCTTCAGCCTCAACATCAGTCTGCCTTCAGCCTCGGCCTCAGCCTGCCTCAGCCTCACCCTCAGCCTGCATCAGCCTCAGCCTGCCTCAGCCTCGCCCTCAGCCTGCTTCAGCCTCAACATCAGTCTGCCTTCAGCCTCGGCCTCAGCCTGCCTCAGCCTCACCCTGCATCAGCCTCAGCCTCAGCCTCAGCCTGCCTCAGCATCAGCCTGCCTCAGCCTCAGCCTCAGCCTGCCTCTGCCTCAGCCTCAGCCTGCTTCAGCCTCAGCCTCAGTCTGCCGTCGGCCTCGGCCTCAGCCTCAGCCTGCCTCACCCTCAGCCTGCATCAGCCTCAGCCTCAGCCACAGCCTGCCTCAGCATCAGCCTGCCTCAGCCTCAGCCTCAGCCTGCCTCAGCCTCAGCCTCAGCCTGCTTCAGCCTCAGCCTGAGTTTGCCTTCAGCCTCGGCCTCAGCCTCAGCCTGCCTCAGCCTCAGCCTGCCTCAGCCTCAGCCTCAGCCTCAGCCTGCCTCAGCCTCAACCTGCCTCAGCCTCAGCCTCAGCCTGCCTCAGCCTCAGCCTCAGCCTGCTTCAGCCTCAGCCTCAGTCTGCCTTCAGCCTCGGCCTCAGCCTCAGGCCTGCCTCAGCCTCAGCCTGCATCAGCCTCAGCCTCAGCCTCAGCCTGCCTCAGCATCAGCCTGCCTCAGCCTCAGCCTCAGCCTGCCTCAGCCTCAGCCTCAGCCTGCTTCAGCCTCAGCCTCAGTCTGCCTTCAGCCTCGGCCTCAGCCTCAGCCTGCCTCAGCCTCAGCCTGCCTTCAGCCTCAGCCTCAGCCTGCCTCAGCCTCAGCCTGCCTCAGCCTCAGCCTCAGCCTGCCTCAGCCTCAGCCTCAGCCTGCTTCAGCCTCAGCCTCAGTCTGCCTTCAGCCTCGGCCTCAGCCTCAGCCTGCCTCAGCCTCAGCCTGCATCAGCCTCAGCCTCAGCCTCAGCCTGCCTCAGCATCAGCCTGCCTCAGCCTCAGCCTCAGCCTGCCTCAGCCTCAGCCTCAGCCTGCTTCAGCCTCAGCCTCAGTCTGCCTTCAGCCTCGGCCTCAGCTCAGTCTGCCTCAGCCTCAGCCTCAGCCTCATCAGCCTGCCTCAGCCTCAGCCTCAGCCTGCCTCAGCCTAGCCTGCCTCAGCCTCAGCCTCAGCCTGCTTCAGCCTCAGCCTCAGTCTGCCTTCAGCCTCGGCCTCAGCCTCAGCCCTCAGCCTCAGCCTGCATCAGCCTCAGCCTCAGCCTCAGCCTGCCTCAGCATCAGCCTGCTTCAGCCTCAGCCTCAGCCTGCCTCAGCCTCAGCCTCAGTCTGCTTCAGCCTCAGCCTCAGTCTGCCTTCAGCCTCGGCCTCAGCCTCAGCCTGCCTCAGCCTCAGCCTGCCTCGGCCGCAGCATCAGCCTGCCTCAGCATTCAAAATGTGGCCCAGGAATGGAGTTCTGGGAACTAGAAGAACACGAAGTGGCCTACAGTTGGCTCCGGGCATTCAAAATCATGCCCAGGAATGGAGTTCTGGGAACTCGAACACCACGAAGTGGCCTACAGTTGGCTCCGGGCATCCAAAATCATGGCCCGGGAATGGAGTTCTGGGAACTCGAAGACCACGAAGTGGCCTACAGTTGGCTCCGGGCATTCAAAATGTGGCCCGGGAATGGAGTTCTGGGAACTCGAAGAGCACGAAGTGGCCTACAGTTGGCTCCGGGCATTCAGAATGTCGCCCGGGAATGGAGTTCTGGGAGGTCGAAGAGCACGAAGTGTG